AAATGGAAATCGATCTAGACATAATAGACACAATCGAAGCCAAAAGACTTAACTGGTATGGACACCTTCAGAGAATGCCAGAAAATAGATGGCCAAAAAAAATAGAAGAATGGACTCCGCCAACTAGAAGAAAACGAGGTAGACCAAGACGATCCTGGAGAGACGATGTCGACGATGCAATGACCGCCAGAGATCTAAACAACTGAAGATTGCTTCGACAGAAAACGCTGAAAATTAGGATGCGAGAAGCGGCGCCAGCTGTAGAAGACTCGCTTGTTATATATAAATATATATATATATATATATTATATATAATATAATACTATATATAGATATATATATATATAAGTATATAGTTATTTACTATTAATTTTTGCTTTCTGTGTAATTTCTATCTTCTCATTGAAGAATAACGTATCAGAAACAAATGAAAAAAAAAAACAATTAAGGAATAGTAACAATGTAAACCTCACTCATTCATCTGGAAATTATGAAACTGAATACCGCTATAGGTCATACTTTTGAACATTAAAAGGATTATTTAAAAGCTTTCAGGGACACTGCTATGAAGCTCAGGCTAGTACAGAAAAACGAACTCAGTCTCCAGCGCGCTTATATGAGCAGTGCAGTGAGGAAAAGGTTTAACTACATATGAAGTATATCATGAGTATGATCTTGACTCAAAATAGGCCCACTAGCAGGTGCTATTGTACGGTAGCTAAAGACGCTGAAATGTCTCCGAAAATTACTGTTTATCTACAATACACAAGGCATTTAAGTCAAAAGGCAGAGGTTTCACTGCCTGTAGCAAGACAAATGATGGCTTGGTGAAACTAAATCCCTTTTCCTATATTAATTTTTCCCCCCTTATGATGCAAAATCTTTACCTGTTCTGCAATGGCGTCTCTAAGTTTCATATGTTTGTCGCTCCAGTTCATCTTTTAAACGTCTGATACTCAGCTTCGGCTGCATTTTTTTCATATTGCGCTTGCTCAGCAACGTCCAGACTTCGTTTAACTTTATCTGTGGTATCAGTTTCTTTATCTCTGAGAACAGACAATGAGTTTTGTAGCTTGTGAATGGTGTCTTGTAAATTTTCTTTTTCTCTAGAATTCATGGAAATAGATAATGCTAAATTTATGTTTATATAACAAAAAATTAAGACAGGTTTATATACCTGGGATCTTACCTCTGAAAATTGTCAATTTGCTTCTTATAAGATTCATAACCCACTGTATCTAAAATAGTTCCCATCATTAATTTTCCTTTTGTAAGATTCGTTTTTCATCTTGGGCCTTCTTAAGATCTATCTTAGACTGAGTAAGTTGGTGCCTCCAGTTCAGAGATTCTTGATTCAAACACAATAGATGGTCCTTCGATGATCCTGGTTTTTCTTGTATTTTTCGGAGATTTTAAAATCTACAAAAAAAATGAATTATTTTACAAAATATCCAATAGGAGAAATATTTATATAGGTCAAGAAATGATCACTAGGAGTACTAAACACTTTTCATTTGAGGTACGCTAATATCGTGTAGAAGTAAATATTGTAAATGATGAAATTTACAATGTTTATTTCTATACAGAAAGATGAACAGCACTATTAAACAGTTTATCCTTAAGAATAAAAAATAAAAGCATCTTGTTAACGCAATAGAAAGTCGCAGAAAAGAGGAAATTTCTCAAAAATACATATATAAAGTGTAAAATTAAATTTACAAAGTCTCAAAAATGAATCGAACAATATTCTTATATAAATTGAAGTAGTTCAGGAAGGTTAAAAATTTTATGTTATTAATATTTTTTTGTTTAATATAGATATAAATAGATTAATAGATTCTTTAACCAAACAAATATACAATTAGATATACAGGGTGTTTCAAAAAAGGTAAGCCCGTCTATAGGGTAGATAAAAAACTGAAAAATAATTGGGGTTTGCTTAGTAAAAAATTTTTGTAACGCCATCCGTTATTCAAGATACAGGGCGTTGAAGAAAAAAAAATTTACGCATTTTTTACGATTTTGCCGAAACTGCTGGCAACATTGTAAATGAAATTTATATACGAATATGTTTTGGAAGCTGATACACCAAGAATTTGTTTTTATATCTGATTCTCATAAGGGCGCTAGTTACAACGGATCGTACTAAATGTTAGTCAATAATAACTTTTTTAAGAGTATAATTATTATCAAAATGTCAAGTAAACTTAAACATCATCAATTTTACACGAAAAAGGTACTCTTGGTAAAACTCGATACTGTGTACCGTTTTCGGAATATGTTGATATGAAAATTATGAAGTAATAATTGATGCTGGTAGTAATGATAAAAGTTCTAATAGGTACACCTCTATTTTCTCCAACTGTGCCATGGAAATCTGACATTTATTGGATTGTTATGACGATAAATCAACAATAATTAGAGTGTTTGAAACCTTGTTATTTGTAAAATCAAATCAAATGTACTCAAATGTTGAATACACTGACATGTTATTAATCTCTATGGCGAATGTTTAGGATGTTCAAGTGCAGCATGTGATACGTTATGCAGAAAAGTTTCCTAGAAGAAACTTACCAAGTAAAAAAACATTTAGAGCCGTTGAACGACGTTGTCGAGAAACTGGGAATGTGAGACCAAATAAAATAAATTCTGGTAGACCAAGAACAACAAGAACAATTAATAAAGATAAATATATATTTTAAATTTACTTGGATCAAGATTCCAACAGTTAGCGTAAGGAATGTAGCAAGACAAACAAATACTTCTTCTTCAAGTACTTGGCGGATACTGAAAGAACAGCAATTACATCCTTATCATTACAGACAAGTCCAAGAGCTCTTGCCAGATGATCTACCGGTTAGAGTGGATTTTGTGAAACATTGCAACAAAGGACAGCCCACAATTCAAATATTTTAAAATGCATTCTTTTGTACGGACGAGGCCACCTTTGCGCGACAAAGGTATGTTTAACTCCCATAAATGCACACTACTGGGTCGTGATGAGAATCCACGGGTCAAAAGGGTATCACATTACCAACACTCATTGAAAGTTAAATGTTTGGGCAGCAACTTTAGGTAACAAATTAATAGGTTATCATATTCTACCTAGAAATTTAAATGGTGATATGTATCTTGATTTTTTAAACAACTCCTTATTCGAGATATTAGAAGATTTAACGCTAAACGAGCGAAGATCTTTATTTTTATGCACGATGGAGCACCACCACATTGATAGAAGGTGTCGTAATTGGTTGAGTAATCATTTTCCGAATCGATGGATTGGTAGAGGTGCAGTTAACCCTCTGGACTACGCAGTTTGGTCGTATATTAAGGAAAAAGTCTATAGCTATAGAGGTAAATTCACGAAAAAAATTGGCAGAAAAAATTAAACGTCAATTTAATGACATCATAGCTGATCCCCTACCGTTTAGAAGGTTAATGTAATCTTTAGAAAAAAGGATTACAGTATTTGGATTTTATTTTATGTTCTTAGTCATTAATTTAATTTTCTTCTTGTGAGTTTTGTTTAATTACTAACTATTTTATACCAGCATCAATTATTACTTCATAATTTTCAAATCAAAATATTCCGAAAACGGTACACAGTATCGAGTTTAAACTAAGAGTACTCTTTTCATGTAAAATATTGAATGATGTTTAAGTTTACTTGAAATAATAATAATTATACTCTTAAAAAAGTTATATTGACTAGTACGATCCGTGTGAAACTAGCGCCCTCTATGAGAATCAGATATAAAAACTGAAAAAATTGATGGAATGTATCAGCTTCCAAAACATATTCGTATAAAATTTCATTAGTAACATCAATCATTCAACGCCCTGTATCTTGTAAACGGATGGCGTTACAAGAATTTTTTTACTAAACAAACCCCAATTATTTTTCAGTTTTTTACCTAACCCTATAGACGGAGTTACCTTTTTTTAAACACCCTGTAGACGGATAATAAATAGATGGAAACACTCAAAGGAATATACAAGGTTACTCGTTTCTCATCTAGGGACCCATCAGGGCATTTTTAAAAGAAAATTAAGATACTAAAAGCCTAACTGCAAATAAGTTGTATGAGATAATAGACAAAATATACATACGGCTGCAAAAGGAGCAATATGAGAAGAACAATAAGAGACACTAAAATCCTTTTAGAGATCGAGAAACGGGAGAAAAAATCAATATAGGAAGAAAAATACATACGATTTATACCGAATAATATTAGAAAACTTATATTAGACCTACCAGACACAACCAAACAATGGACAATAAAAAAGGCTATGGTAGAAATAAACAGAAGATTTGTTCCACAAATTAGGATGGCGATCTTACTACCATTTAGAGTACTAAGTAATGTAATTAATTCCAATTCCAAGGACCATCCACTAACGTGGGAAATAAGAACACAATCAATAAACAATACGTAATTTAATTATTAACTTTCTTACTATAACTAAGTTAAGATCTAGCCAAAGCTTTAGCGCAAAGTTTTTATCTCTAAACCGCCGATTACTATCCAATTTACACGAGTTCACTAAACACCATACGAGAGCACTGTTACAGTTTAAATATGTTACTAATAAGATTGTCACATGAACCAAGGATTTTGCGTTGATGCGTTGACCCCTTTGATCAAATACTAAACTGACATTGACTAATTAGGAAATTAAAAACTCTAACAAAGACGCGACCAGCTAAGCTGGGATACAATTTGACACTGACTACGTGACTAATTTCAAATTATCACTGCCTCACCTATCAGGAGTCAGGAAAAATTTCTTTGAGATTTCTATTATAGTGTATTTTTATGTATGAGAGAGTAATAAAACAATAAATTATGTATGCAAATCCCTAAAACTGTTGATACGGGTGACTCAATGAAAAACAGATATTTGTCAACAAGTTTTACAGAAGTATATAGGAAAACAATTTTAAATTGAGTATGACCACCAGGTATAAAGGTTGGAGCAGAATAGAATACAATAGTTGTGAGGGTTACTAATCCCTAAATAAGGTTGCCAGTGTCGGAGTGATGGAGGTTAACAGGTACTAATGAATTTGCAAGAAATGTAAGATGTTTATTTTTATTGGTTATATATAACCAATAAAAGTTTAATAAGTACCTACCTATTTGCAAAATAAAGTTTAATTCTTTAGATAAAATAAAACGTTTTATTTTATCTGAAATGAGTGCATTCCACGAAGTAAGGGTTTCAACAATCAAACATTTAATTCTTTAATTCCAGGAATCTACGACAGTAATTGACTAGATAATTACCTTCTAAACTTATTCCACAGAAAATGTGATAGTGTGTTTTTTCCATTTTGTAGGAAGGTCCAAGTGGCGTATTCAAAATTCTTAACAGTTCACTAAAAGTAGGTACTTCAGTTGCAAGGTGCAGTTTATTGTGTATACTATGTTATGGAAAATTTGGAAGTGCCGTGTAAACGCCGAAAAATTGGTCCTTTAACAGTTAATGAAAAAACATTAATATTTAATTGTTTTAAATCATTTACAGACAAACGTTTATGTGAAAGTGTTGATGAGACCGTTGAGTTAGTTAGCAGTACACTTGGTGTTGGGAAATCTACGATTTACAGAGTTATTAAAGAAGAGAAATGTGTAGTTTTCAAATGCCACGTAATGCTCCAGGGAAACCAAAATTTTAAATAGAATATCATTTTAAAGAAGGACTTCGACGGAAAGTGCATGAATTCTTCTTTAACAAGAATTTCCAACATTGGATAAAGTTCTTGTCTCAGTTCGAGATGATAAGGATTACCCAGAAATGAGTCGAAGTACGTTATGGAAACTTTTAAAAAAATAGGCTTCCGCTGGAAAAAGAATCCCAGAAAGTCTATTTTATTAGAAAGAAGCGATATTGTCATATGGAGAAAGACATTTTCTAAGAACCATAAAGGAAATGAGAAACCAAAAAAGAAAAATATTTTATCTTGATGAAACATGGATCAACGAGGGTCATACACCAAATAAATTTTGGCAGGATGAAACTGTTACAAGTCAAAGGCACGCTTTTGTAAAACTTATCTACTGGTTTAAACCCACCATCAGGAAAGGGACGCAGGCTGATAATAGTACACATTAGCAGTTCAGACGGTTTTGTTGAAGGTGGTTTATTAACTTTTGAATCAACTCGTACCGGTGACTACCATGAAGACATGAACGCTGATGTCTTTCAAGAATGGTTCGAACAAATGATAGATCTTCTTCCTAAGAACTGTGTAATAGTAATGGATAATGCAAGTTATCACTCCAGACTTATAGAAGGACTGCCACAACCAAGTGGTTAAAAAAAGACTTGCAGAATTAGCTGAGTTCAAAAAATATTACGTACCATCCCGGATCTATAAGAAAGGAACTTTATTCGTTGTGTGCCCTTCATAAAGAAAAATTTAAAAAATACGAAATTGATGAAATTGCCAAAAATCGTGGAATGACAGTACTTAGATCCCCACCATATCATTGTGAATTAAACCCGATTGAACTGGTATGGGCACAGATAAAGAGTGAAGTTTCAAGAAAAAATACCACTTTTAAAATTCATAATGTTAAACAGTTGTTTTTGGAGGCCGTAAATAATTAAAACCTGAAAACTGGAAAAGGCAGTAAATCACACTATTAAAGAAGAGGAAAAAATGTGAAAGCTGGACAATATTACTGATAAAATGATCGAGCCAGTTATTATAAATCTTGGTTCTGAAAGTTCATCTTCTGAATCTGATTTGGATTTGTAACAAGTAGCTGTAAGTTTTATATTAATATTTTTATTCATCTATTTAACATACCTTAGACGGTTTTAAAAAACTCTTTTTCTCTTTTGTAATTTTTAAAAATTAAAAAAAATGTGAATTTTTTAAAACCCTTTTTAATGTAGGCCAGTCAGTTCTAATATAGTGTGTGTGATAAAAGAGGTCACTTTTGTTTACTACACATAACAACTTTATAACACTGAAAATAATTATTTATTTTTTTACAATTATTCAAAGTATTTTTCAATTAAATCTTGTAGCACGCCCATGGAGTGGTCGGAGGTACCAGTTAAAATTATGCTAATTACTCTCTCGTTCATAAAAAATAAAACTAAAACCTAGTTTTTATTTTTTATGACTATATTAAATATATTATAATTTAATATAAACTAAGACTAAAAAACTATTAAAGCTAAAACCCTCTTTTGAATGATTGCTAACCGGAGATTTTCTAGGTACCAGTTTTCAATGGTTAAAACAGCTTTTGAAATGCTTTATACAGCGTTTCTGGACTTTGTGGAGATTTACCTCGGTAGATCTTATGAAATTAGAAAATTGTTTGCTACCAGTAGCGTAGCAAGACTTGATAATTGCTACAGAAATTTATCCATGCTATTGAAAGATAAGCACACACAGACTAAACTTAATTGAAACTCTCTGAATGACAAAAGTATAGGTATAAAAACAAGAAGCGTAGAACAAATCTGATTGTTTCGCTCTCTGTTACATAATTTTACCATTATTGTCGTTTCTTTAAATTGCTATAAACCAAAAATGAATATAAAACTTTTTTATATACTTACGCTTTTATTATCAACATCAGTTTCCGTTTCTGTTTCGGTTTCCAAATGATCAAATACTGATTTGATTAATTTGGACTTTTGTCTTTCGTGTAAATTTTCGTTTTCACTGATGACATCTTTCACTTTACTTAATAAAGAAGATAATTCGTCCTAAAATAATAGTAAATATATAATTGAACAAACTCACATTTACAAAACAATAAGTTAAAGATACACCAAGAGGACAAATCTGCAAATAACAAGATCATAAAAAAATACGGCACATAACTCAGCAATAGTGAAATTGAAAAGAATAGTTAGCAATAGCAAGATACAGGCATTAGCAACTACCTTAAAAATATAACATCGACTTAATCCACAGAATACGCGCTATAGGAGTCGACTAAGAAATAAAATCTTAATTTCGAGCGGACTGGATATAAGTAACAAAATGATTCAATGACGACTAGTCATACGACAGTTAAGGTCCCTATTATAGTCTAAAAACATAAATATGTCAACAAAACTAGACTTATATCGGAGCATAGTGAAACACCATCACAACATATGCTGCAGAAAGTTGACAAATAACTCAAGGGAGTAAGAAGATATTTAAAACGCAAAAAGGGATGTTTTTACAATTAATTTGGCATGGACACCCAAAACGAATGACCGATGAAAGATGGCTCAAAAAGCTAGCGTATCTATTCCATAAAATAGAGAAAAACAAAGATGAAACAACCTTATATAGGTTTTTGAAGTTCTAAAAGGTATGTACAAACAACAGACCATGATGAAGGATGAAGAAGAAGTGGATCTATTATCTAGGATGATATTGAAGCTGCTCTTACAGACCATCAAGGACATTTTACTTTTATATGTGTGATTTTAACGCCAAAAACAGGAATGAAATCCAACCCTACAGAAACACCACTGGAAACTTTGGCTTGATGATAGAAATTAACGTGGCGAATACTGTTAAGGTTTATGCTGCATTATCAACTATTCAAAATGAACAGTTTTTTCAAAAGAAACCACAAAGAATATGTAAGTGAGGGAGTAGGCAGATTAAGACCCCGAACTTAACGCCAACCCCAATAAAAAAATTTTAGATATTCATCCGTACATCATTATCAAACTAATTATTTTAATAAATATACTCAAAAATACATTAAAATACTTACTCTGCAAAAACGAGATTCTTTCTCTAGTTGTTCAATATAATCTTCTTGTCGTTCAATAAAAGACAGTAATTCTGGAGGAGCATTCGCATCCGTTTTTGGCGGATCTCTAAAAATTCAAGTTTTGTTTATAAGAGATCTTTATAGAATATTAAGGAGATTTAATAAGTTCACGGTCTCATCAAAGATCTCAGGATTCGAGCATTTTTTTCCTTAACATTAGTACAATGAGTAAACGACATAAAATTGCAAGAAAACAAATGTGATTTTTTTGCCCATCCCTTGCAATGAAGGTAATAATTTGTCGATAGAAAAATCGTAGATATTGTCGGTGTTTTTAATGCAAAAGAGATTTTGCTATCTTAAAACAGATAACAGGAGATGTTTTTGAAAATAAACCAGACAAAAAGAAGAAAATAATAGATACTTTTCCATCAGAGAAATGTAACTCTATCCAAAATCTGTCTCATTAAAAGAAAAGAAGAAATCTGCAATATGGAGTGGTAAAACATCTACATTATAACCCAGATATTGGCGAGGAACCGCAAAGTGGGCGACGCCTGGTGGTAGATTTCAAAAGCATCCACTTCGGGAAAACATTGAAATTGTCATTATTTTGTATACATATTACGACCGGTTTATATTGTAATATACAATGATTTCGACTTCAAAAAACTATTGCAGTGTTCCTCAATGTTCATCCTATTATAATTCACAAAAAAATTCCATACATAAGTTTCCGCTGGACGAGAATATGAGAAAAGTTTGGCAATGCATTTTGTGAATTGGCAAACATATAACCAAAGATATAACTTTCCTAGTGTTGATTAAAATATTATTTATATTTTAATATATTTATACTTAATTTACTTTATAGTAACACCTGAAACTAAATTAAGAAGACTGAAGAAAAATGCTGTTCCATCAGCTAAATTGCCCCAACGGTCTCATGAAGTTATTAGTAGAAAACGTAAGGCGTAATTTACAAAATATAACGTGGCCAGCTCCAAAAACTGCCTCACCCTCAACTAAAGATCTCTGCCGATCTTGCAACCATATAAATAATTAAGATAATGTAAATTTTACTTCCCGTGTTTCAGACATACTGTAGAAAAACAAACATTTAATTTTATTTTTATTCAGGTTTTGGAGTCAATTACCTTATGTATAAACTCGAATCACAAACAAATAAACTTTGAAGAACGTACTCCAACTTTTACTTTGGCAAAACACACGTGTAAATGATTTATATTAAACGTTTTATACCTTAGAGATCAAATGACAAAATGATTTGTTTTCCCGAAGTTATCGTCAATCTTTAAAATCTTCAGCGCCCACTGTCGGAATTGCCATGGCAAATAGTTTTTTCTTATTTACACTATATTCTTTAAACTGAGGTGAGCACTTTTTGTCCCAGATTCTTTAATATAGTTGAATGTGTTTTTCATGTTAACGTAAAAAGTATGACCCATGGGTCAAAAATACCAGGATTGATGTTCCTGTTGAGGAACTAAATATTTGCAAGTCGTATAATAACAGCTAAGGGTTGTGTATCGTGAAGCACTGCTTTTTTGACTCTTCTTCAGGTAGTAGTCTAGCTGTAGCATTCAGACCGTGGTTCAGACCAGTAATCACTTACTAATGATATCCGCAAAACTAACAAAAAAAAAACAAAAATAAAAAATAGTGTAATAAGAACTTACATTGATGGTTTTTCTGTACTCGTATTTGTTAAAGGATAATGACTCCTTAAAGGTGGATAGTAGTAGTACTTTCTTGGTGTTACGGGATTATATTGGTAGTAGTGTCTACTCAACCGCGAGTTTCTGCTTCCGGCACTGATTAAAGATTGATTGTCAGTTTCTTCACCAGCACTGTCTAACTCTTTAATAGGTCTCTTCAAAGGAGTATAACTTTCTGCAAGAAGAATTCTTAGTCTACCAACAGCCTCGCGATAGGCGGTTTCCGCATAGTCCGGCTTTCTTCTCCATTCCATTTTCGGGAGGGCTGATTTTCTGAAAATAATAAATGTAAATGTAATTAATGAGTAAATAAATTCTAACTATAGTTTTTAATGTAATAATATAAAAAATATTTATCTATTAAAAACAAAAACATTTTTGAGAATGACCGACATTTGGCATTTTTAAGGACGGAATATACAAAAAACACGAGTCAACAACAAAACAAATACAATGTATATTATTGTACATCATAATATATTATATATATATATATATATATATCAATATATTTATATAATATATAATGATGTTTGTTTGTGTGTGAGCAATGAATGTTTTAAAATAAAATATATGAGTATGGGTTTTTATCGCGGTTCTCAAAGAATTAATTGTAAGTACTTTTTTAAATTATCTTTATTATAACTATTATGAAACACACATATATATCTAATATAGACAATATAAATTTAGAACAAACCTATCTTAAATTTGAAAATTCTTAAATAATTAAATTATATTAACAAAATTTGGTACCTTTCTATCACTGAATGCCTAAATGAAACTGTTTTCCAATATAAAGGTTCAATCACCACTCCAATCTATTCTTATCAGCCTCGGTTATGCTTGTTTTTGTCAAATTAACTTTTTCCAAATATATCAAAATGTGTTAATTATCAGCTTCTAACAATTTAAATATTTTTCTTCTTAACAGCATTTATAAATGGGCCAAATATTCTTCTTTATACTCTCCAATTACCATATAAATATTATAATTTTAAATCCTTCTAATCTACATATAATATAGTTTCAAATACACTGTATACTATCTGCTTGTACTATATAATTATTACTTTAATACTGACCACTGTATATTATCTGCTTGTACTATTTATTGACTGACTAACTTCTTAATAAATTCACTAATTAACTGTAGAACTGTCTCCTGTTTATCTTCTTAATTAACTAACTGCATACTATAACTGTACTTAACTTCATGAATCAACTGTAACTGACTTAATAATAATTGAATGAATACTGTGTTAATGTCTGTAATGAATGAACCCTTGCTCCAAATTACGTCGTATTTATATCTTTTCATGGTTCCAGAATCTTCTAGCAACAAATCATGTTCGAAACTGCCCATTGATCAATATATGAAAGTTCTGGAATAATCGACTATGCAAATAGGGTTAATTGCCTTCTATATTGACGGTTTTCTAGAGAATTCTTTACCCTTCTAGTGAGAATCTTATGGACATTTAGTCTTTCAGATAAGAATATACAATTATATATAAAGTAAACATCCTAAAGTCATACATAATACTAATCTAAATTTACAGTAGGAGCAACTATTTCAGAGAAGGTATTACTAAATACTTGCAATAAGAAAAATTTAAAGCCTGAGAACAGACAACCAAAATCAGAAGCGGATGACTTCCAAAAATGCTAGCATAAAATGGAATTAGGAGAAGAAAAAAGCCAACAGGGAGAAATGAGCCAAAATATCAAAAAGTGGGAAGTGGTTAAAAGACCAATGCATAGAAGTCGAAGAGTATAACAGAAAATATGACAGCTTAACAATGACAGACCTAACTAATACGAAAAAAGCGCTCACAATTTGGATAATCAAAGATGATAATGGTAAATCATTCCAGACATCAAAGATAATACTAAGAGTTTTGGCATGAATACGTATGAAACTATTTGATCGTTGATCGAATGATACAAGAAGAACTACAGAACAGCGGAGCCGAAAATAATAATGTGCGAATTGGAACGGGCAATTAGAACGCACTCGGTAATAATGTATTCTTTCATTCTGCGTTTAAATTTTTCAAAAATATTTATTAGTTTTCTCAGGATTCCAAAAAAAATTAATGCATTTAAAAAGCATTGGCCCGAAATTTTTGCGCCTAAGCTCTTAAGAATTTTGCCAAAATAATACATGGAAGACTATACAGAAAAATAGAAGAATATATAGATGACACCCAGTTTGATTCAGAGGAGGACTAGGAACGAGAGAGGGCTTTGTTCGCTTTTAACATTCTCGCGCAAATATGACTAGATGTGAACCAGGATCTTTACGTCTGCATATGAAAAGCTTTTTATAGAGTACGACATCAGAAACTCGTAAAACTGATAAAGAAGAAAAGAATGTGGATAGTCGAGATATACGGGTTATTGTTAATCTGTACTGTAATCAAAAGCAAAGGTTAGAATCGAAAATGTCGATACAGGAACTATAGATGTCAAAAGAGGTGCTAAGACAGCGGTTGCGTGCTATCCCCATTGTTAGTCAGTCTGTACAGCAAAGCTATTTTTAAGAAGAACAGTATTAGAGGAACAACAGGATACATCCATAAACGGAAAAATCTTGAACAGACTAAGATTCACAGACCGACACCGTGATTTTGCAGACAGTCTAGAAACACCGGCAACGCTTAGTAAAATAAATTACATCAAGTCCAGTATAAAATATGGACTACAAATGAACGTTTTAGCAAACCAAGCTGCATGATTATTTCTAAGCAACATACAGTAGGAAGGCTAGATATCGAGGATAAAACAAGTAGATATAGTGAATATCTACAAATATCTGGGAATCTATGTAAATGAAAACAATGACCAATATTAATACAGACCAATGACCCTATACAGGCTCTCAATATTATAAGAGGAGTACGGCAGGGATGCCTCTTGTACCCTGCTTTTTAATGGTTACTCCAAAAGAATTTTCAGAAAAGCACTTTCTGAAAAACAAGAAGGAATACTTGTGAACTGGCGAAGTTATCAATTATTTGCGATATGCGGACGATACCGTACTCCATAGCTTCTAGTCAAGAAGATCTGCAAACACTTACTTGATAGTGTCGTTGAGAGTTGTAGGGAGGCAGGTCTGGATCTTAACATACGGAAACCAAAATACTCGTAATAAGCAACAACAGCATGTAATACCATCTTATACAGGGTAAATAATACCAAACTTGAGCAAGTTGATAAAATCGTTTACCTTGATAGCAATTAAATTGTAACGCGGAAAAGTCACGGCGACATTGATCATAGGATAAAGCAGGCTAGAGTGCTTTTAGAAGGATGTCCAAGGTGTTATGAAACAGAGACTCTATAATTGGCATTGAGGATCCGCCTACTTCGCTGCTACGTATTTTCGTCTTACTTTATGGTGTCAAGTCTGGACTGTGCATAAAATGATCTAAATCGCACTTGAGGCTTTCGAATGTGGTGCTATAGAAGAATTTTTAAAAGTTTCCTGGGTGGAGAAGATTCGAAACTCCACAATATCTAGAACGTCTAGCAAGGACTACTGAGATCATAAAAAGTATCAAGCAGAGAAAGCTGGAATATTTCGGACATGTAATGAGAGGTCCCAAATATAGGTTGCTACAAAATATCATTCAAGGAAAAATAGCAGGCAAACGCAGTCCAGGAAGAAGAAGAACCTCATGGTTGAATAACTTGCGAGATTGGTATGGTGTTGATACAAGCATGCTATTTAGGGTGGCAGTGAATAAAATTAAGATAGCTATAATGGTAACCAACGTTCTGAAAGGACATGGTACATGAAGAAGAAGAAGGTAGAAAAATAAGAACACGCATTGAAATTGCAAAACAAGCATTTATAAAAATGAACAAACAATGGTTTGTTAATCGAGACCTTCCCCTTGAGCTGAGGATAAGAACCTTAAGATTCTAACTGTTCTCGACTTTGTTGTATGGAATCGAAAGCTGAACACTAAAAGTGATAATATAAAGAAATTGGAATCATTTGAGATTGGTGCTATAGAAGGATTTGAAAATACCATGGACCCAACGAGTTACAAATGCAGAAGTGGGCTACAAAGGATTGCGAGGTCATAAAGCACATCAAACAAGAAAGATGGAATATTTGGAATATCTTAGGAATAACCTAAAAGAGTGGTATAGTGCAGCTCAGTAGATCTTTCCAGAGCAGCCGCCAATTAGGTACGGATAACTGTGATGATAGCCAACACTTCGATAGTGAAGCAACTACAAGAAGTAAAACTTGCACCCAGGTTTATTCAAGATAAATTACAGAGAAAAAATATTGAACATTTTAAATGATATGAAATGATTGTAATTTCGAGACGAATCTATTTATGTAAATTTTATTGCATTTGAGTCACATTACATTTTTAATAAGAATGTGCTATTTGCTTTTTATAAAAATTGGTCTGCGTTATCAAAATTTCACAATAATTCTGTATTTTACCACAGATGACTGAATTAATAAGAATAAAAGCAAAGATAATTATTAAAGAAATGAACAGAAACGAGAAAATTACGTTAAAACGTTATCGTTTAGCAGTTTATGTTGTATAAAAGCCAATATTTTTTAGTGTAATAAGTACTTATGTGAAAATGTTTGATAGAACAGTACATGTGACTAAAATTAGAGATCTAAATCATAGGAATTTTTCACCGATCAGTACATGTTAAATAAACATATTTATCTATTAATAAATTATAATACAAAAATATATTACACAACCTTTTTTTTTCGTTAAATATTGTTTCAAATATTTAAAAGATTAAATAAATATTTGTCTTAGATTTGTTAAATATATTTATTAAAAAAACAATACCTATCTGAAATTATATCAGTAAAAATTACCTGCACTTGTTTGATACAGCACTTGCAACTACTCGTACTTCGGCTCACCTGATTATGTAAAGGGTGTTCGGCCTTAAATCGCGATTTGGATTTGTTTGTATCCACCATGATTATTCATGAGAGAAAAATCAATAGTCAAATATTTTATGTCACCATCATATTTTTAGTTAAATAACGGTATTTTATGATAAATATTTATTTATTATTTCATTTTGACACTTATCAATTGATGCTACCGTCATTCCGCATAACTAAACAACAAAGTTGGTTTCCATGACAACGAGTAAACACCATTAAAGATAATAGGCATGACGCATATTGTATAGGGTCATTACCAATTTAAAATACAAGTGGATGAAAGGGTGAAATCACTATTGTGGGAGTCTTTAAAAAATTTGAC